ATATATATATATATATATATATATATATATATATATATATATATATATATATATATATATATATATATATATTGATATAGCTTTTCAAATTGCTTAAATTAAGTTTGTCGATTAATGAATTCGGTGGTCTCTATCAAGTGGTTATGGAAAATGGTTTCATATTAGGTTTTGAAAAATAAAAATAGTGGCAAGATGAAAATGAAGAAGATGGACGTGGAACGGCTCGTGAAACGAAGGTAAAAGAGGAAAAGTACTTAAGAAAGAAACAGAAACAGAAAGAGACAGGCCGTATCGGTTGCCAACGTGTACAGCTACGTCTTGACATTTTTCTGAAAATGGAGACGTCAGAGCGAGTTTTATGAATCCTGGCTGCAGTGTCCACCGTAAAACAAAAACAAAAGCAACAGACATGACTTTTGTCGACGACAAACAACATATCTTCATATTTCTAGTGATGAACATTTAAGTCTCGATTTAAGTAGTAAAATTTTTACCGCACATTGCTTCGTGTGAATTTTGATTTAAGCCATTCTTAACTTAATAAGATGCATCAGGTGATTCATCTGTTTGAACATCTTACATTGCGCTTTGAGCATTAATGTGTTTATATTTACAAACAACAAATGTGCCTTGATCGATATCTAATTTGCATAAAAGCTAGTACCTAAAGCCAAAATGTTTGGGTTCCTATATGGCCAGTACCAGTTTATGAAGGTCTTAAAATAAAATAAACTGAATTGCTGACGCTGTTACATTAAAATGAATCCATTTGAATTTGAATGCATTCTAGGATTTGAAAGTCAATGATTCTGCAGTTAAAGAGCTTAATTCTTCCGCCTTTTTGTTAGCCTGTAGTGTAACAAATCTTAAAATTTTCATGTTAGCATGCAAAGCAACTACTGTTGTTTCCAGCCATAAAATATTTCATGTTTAAATTAAGAATATTATGAAACAATATTTTGGAATTATAGTTGCTCTGTTAAAGGTAAGTTTACACGTTACGATATGTCGTGCATGATTAGTGTTCTGGCGTATGAAAATTCCTGTTGACGCCACAATTTATTTTTTTAGTTTGAGACAAAATATGAAATGCAACCATGCATATATTTCTAGATTTGTAAATAATTACTCTTCAGATTATATTTTTAAAACTGACCAAGATTTCCAGCTTGATTAAATCAAACGCTGGTTACTTATACACTAAATATAATCTATTTAATTTAACCAGGAAGTTCTTGTTAAATTAAGCAATTATAATTAAGCTATAGGGTGAAATAACCAGGAAAATTAAGCCGGAATACAAAGTTACCCCAAATAGGTTTATTTCTACATTCAATCAAGAATTTAACCAGTATTTTGGCTCAATTTCCATATTAACAATCTGATTTTTTTAACAAAGTTAATCTTAATCCTAATCTTAATCCTAACCCTAATCTTAACACTAACCCTAATCCCAACCATAATCCTAACCAGAACCCTAATCCAAAACCTAATTCTAACCCTTAATCCTAACGCTAATACTCTGACGTAATTTTAGGAAAGTAATATGGAAAGTCACCCAGTATTATAACAGTTTGGGACCGCGACTAGTTACAATTTTTACCTTGGTAATTTAAAAACAGTGCTTTGTTACGGTAAAATGAATTGGAGACGAAATGCCAGAATTAATTTAAATAGTGATTTTCAGTCATCAACTCAATCTTAATTATCTGAATACACTATTCATTTGATTGCCTTGAGAAGGACTTACAACGTAATTTCTTTTCACATTCCCACCTGAGGACACCATGCGTAAATGATGTCATTCTCCAATTGCGTTGACTGCGAATGCTTACAGGAAGGACAAGCGCCCGGACGAGGAATTACTCCAAATATTTAATGTTCGGGCTCGTTCTTGCATTCCAATTAAATAAAGAGATTATTAAACGATTGAAAAAACTAAATTATTCTACTCGCTTTTTATTTTGATTTTATTATTTGTTAACATTTAAATGCATGACATATACGAATATGCGTAAAACAACTAAAATTACCTTAATTATGTAAAAACATGGAAAATGTGAATCTGAACCACAACTAAACAAAGCATGTGTTTACTGTTCGTACACTATCTCTGATCGCCCTAAAGTAGTTTGTTAACATCAAAGTCGAAATTATGCTTAAATTATTTAACACAAATGGATTTATACTACTGGCACTATGGCTATTAATACCATTGGTTTAAAAGAGAAGTGGAGGTTAAATGAAATTATTTAACTATTAAGTATTTCAAAAGTGCTGCCACTCCAAGCAATATTTCTACGACAACTGCAAGACGATTAATCATCCGAGTTGGATTTATATTTTGCATTCCACTTCTCAAAACATTCCTTGGCAATCTCTTTTTTCATGTCGCTGTCGATATCCGTTCCATAAAGGCGAACGTATTGCTCGGAGAATTTCTGTGGAAGCATTCTGCTCACGTCATCTCCAGACCTTGAATCAGCAATATCGCCGTCTTTATTGTAAAATATAACAGATTTTACGGGGTCTTGATCCTCTTTGCCAAAATGAATTTTAACAATGCTAACAAATAATTCATTCGCTTTTACAAGGCCTCCGGATAATTTCGCTATTTCTTCAGCAGCGGCCTCCAAATCGTCAATATTCAATTTTTTGTCAGGCTGAAACTCGCCATAAAGCTTATACAGCTTTCGCCGCTGGATCCTTTCGAGAATTTCTTGTGCTTTCTTGGTCTTTTCGTCTGTATCATTGCTGCGCAAGATTTCGTAAAATATGCTATCGGTGAGCTTGGAATATTTCTCCATATCAAATATTGCCTCCGAAAACTTGTATTTCTCTTCTAACAAAATAAGAGCATCGGTAATCATTTCCTCGACGGCTTTCGTGGTCTTATGTTGATAGGCGCGATGATGTAATGACCATCGGGTATGGAAAAGCTCGTATATATTAAAGACAAGCTTATCGCGTGGACACAAGTGTAGCCCACCGTCTCCATCCAATAATTTGATTTGAATATTGTTGATGTAGCGAAGATAATCGAAATTGCTCTTCATTCCCAGGTTGTGGCAATCACGGGCAAAATAATCGAACTTATCACAATCAACTTCGTATATTTTATTGGCAACAATTTCGAATAGAAACCACTTCTTCAGTTTGCCATCTAAAGTTGTAGGGACCTCCGTGATGTCATCTTCAGCCGGATGTTTACCTTTAATGATATTTTTGATAAGTTTCTGCTCTTTCTCACCAAGCTTTTTCTCCGCAAAGGCATCTTTTAGTCCATCGGTGGTCTTCAAGATGTGATCAAACATGGCACACGATGCATCTTCATGCTCCCAATCGTTCAATTTCTTTGCTTGTGCACCGTGGTAGTTCTTATCATCATCTTCGCATTGCTCATCCGACAATCTATGTATTTCATTTTTATGGTATTCGATCAATTTCGTTTTCATTCGTGTATCAAACACATGAGAAAAAGGCCCATGGCCCAAGTCCTGTGAAATATAGAAAAACAATAACAGAACTTTTTTAATATGAAGCACAATTTAATGCTGTTTCGCAGTACGTTATCAAACAATGTCATTTGAATGTTCATGCTTGCTAACTACATAAATATATGAGCAAAATAATTATGAGCATGGCAAAATTCAATTTGTAGATAAAGTACACGTTTCTAGAAAACAGATATTAATCCTTGTCAAGGATTTACACGCAAACTTTGCTTGTTTTAAGTACTGTATATGAACAAATATTCTTAGTAAGCCTATCAAACGGCAACTATGTTTCTTAAAAACAAATATTCTTGGTGACACTCTTTGCTTATCAGTACTTTAAGGAAACATATAATCTTGACAAGAATATTAACAAGAACCAATGACTGTCTTAAGTCAGCAATTATTCTTGTCAAGAATATAGCAAGACGTTTTGCCTGTTTTAATTATAGAAATATTTTTGGTAATAGCAAGAACTTTTGCTTGTTTTAAGAAAACAATTATCCTTCGTTAGAACAATTTTTAAGTCAGATTAATTTTTGATAAGAATATTTTCCCTCGTTTTTCTTATTTTAAGCAAAATATTGCTTAAAATAAGAATTTTTGCAAGAATTTTTTTCTAGGAAAAATTTCTCAATTTTTCTACGCACGTACATGGCAGAGAGCAGCAATTTTGACACACAAGACTTCCTCATCGGTGATATAATGTTGGTGGTTCCTATCGGTGGTCTTTTTGTCTCGTTTGTGAACATCTTTCAATCTTTCAATCATCATCCCAGCTAAGTGCGCAGTGCCAAGTGAGTGTTCAAAACGATTGTGGGAAGCACCAGGGAAGATCCAGTACGAAGCTCCCAGCTGCTTGATGTCTTTCATTCTTTGGAAACACGGAGTGTGAATGATGGCGACCAACAGAGGATCAAATTCCATGTAGCCATGAATTGGATCATTGAATCCTGTTTTATCTTCGGCCATAGTGTGATAGAATGTGCTAATCTAGTATAAAGGAAATAAGAGTATGTGTTAATTAAGTAATATCTCGTATTCGAAAATTATAGCTTCAGCTGGATTCAAGTCTCAATATTTTACGAGGAGGCGTGCTAATTATGTCGAATCCATGAGGTTCTATAGTCATCGAATTTAACATGACATCAACCTCGTTCCCAGGGCTTCAGTGTGAGAACGAGGCGAGACACGAGGAAGCCCTGGTCCGTGCCGGTCAATTTTGCATTCTGATTGGCTAACACCATATTGTCTAAAAATAACTGAACTTGACAGTTGACAATAACAATTCAACATTTGTAT